CAATTCATCAATCAACTCGTCAAACCGTGGGAATTGGAAAGCTATCTTTCACATTAATGGCATTCAAAGCCCTGTAATCAGTACAAAATCTCCAAGTGCCATCTTTCTTTTTCACCAAGATAATTGGAGAAGAAAAAGGGCTATTGCTGGGCACAATTATTCCCTCCTGCAACATCTCGTGCACCATTTTCTCAATCTGCTGCTTTTGGCTGAAAGGATATCTATACGGCTTCACTTTAATAGGATTCGAACCATGTACTAGAGAAATAACATGGTTATGTGATCTAGGAGGAGGTAGACCACACGGCAACTCGAAAACCTGTTGATATGTATGCAACAATAACGTTATCTCTGGTTCCATGTCCACAGGTAAATCACGAAATAGATCTTGTGAATTGCTGGGATTTTGAAAATGGAGAGAATACATTTCTGCAATCGAATTAGTATGAAACATTCTTCTCAGATGATGAAATTGAGCCTGGTTAGGTAACTTGGTTTGTTCCCCCGTCAGTGTTACAAACTTATCATCCAACATAAATTTCAATGATAAGTTGCTATAATCAGATATGTGAGCACCTAGTGTGGCCAGCCAAGAAGCTCCAAGAACCAAGTCAGCACTTGATATAGGAAGTAAGTAAGCTGGTAGCTGAATTGCATGGTTTTGAATTGTAACCTCCAATCTCTTGATGAGTCCCTCCACTACCAACGCACTTCCATTACCCACCATTACATTAAAATTCTGAATTGGTTCTATTGGTAGTTTAAGACAAGCAGCAATCCTTGGCTGCAAGAAATTATCCGAACTGCCACTATCCAAAAGGATTTGCACAGTTAAACCATTAATAACTCCTTTAAATCGCATGGTACCATTTCCAGCCGAGCCATTAAGAGCATTGAAAGAAAAGTGAGGTTCACTCAGAAGCTGAGGCTCTATATTGTCCGTAACAACACTAGCATCCATAACCGGTTCATCAGAAACTTCATCTTCATCTAAATGGAGCCAGAGATATTGCTTATTAGGACACCTGTGAGAGGGCGAGTATTTGTCATCACAAGTGAAGCATAATCCCTTCTCTCTCCGCAACTGAGTCTCTGCAGGAGACATCTTCTTCACCGTCGCACTTTTGTCTAGAGGAGTCTGGTTTGATTTGGCCAATAATGGAGGTAATGCAGTGGACTTTAGTGATTGTGAAGTGGTAGGCAAAGATTAATTTTTTGTATGGATATTGGACCAAGAAGATTTCTGTTTGATAGCATACTTTTCTTCAAACAATTTGGCCAATGACACACATCTCATCAATGTAGTAGGGCCCTGAACCAGCACATCACGACGAATGTCATAAGGTGAAGGGCCGAATTCCAACTCCAAAACATAAGTGAACGCAATCCAACTATGAAATGCGTTAGTTCGAGCTTGCATTTGGAACCATGGAACCACTTCCTTTTCCAGATGAACAGAAGCAATGAGCAATCGTTGGTCATCCGGGGTTTTATAATAATCAAAAAACTGTTCTGCCTTGAAAATCCATTGCAACACCTCAGATCCATCAAACTTAGGAAAATCTAATTTAACATTACGAACTTGAAATGACGTAGATGGAGAAACAGGACGCGAACCTGTTTCTAAAGCCTTGATCGATTTCAACACCGAATCCATCGAAGTCTCCAACGTCTCGAATCGAGTAGAATCATCACGTTGTCGTTCATTAAGAGCCGCAATCAAACGCTTCAAATCACGATCCGTAGCAGCCACTGCAGTAGCCAATTGCTTGACGTCGACTACAGATTCCTTCAGACGAGCAATATCCGCTTGTATCTCCTTCATTCGAGTATTCTCCGCCATGATAGAATGAAAGCACCAATGTAACGGTAGCACCAGTAACCGCAAGAATTAAAGAGTAACGAGTATACTGAAATAAGCTCTGTAATTGTATTATTTACTCAGTATGGGTTTCTTACAAGAAATAGAATATTGCTAACAGCATAGCAGTGATTACAGAGCACAATAACAAACCGAATTGCAAGAACTGAACCATCAAAGAAAGAGAAAGGTTCTGCCTACCAAAATTCCTCCCCCTCACCCCCTAAAATCCTTCTCTTTATATTCCACTATTTCCTCACATAATCCTTCAGCCACCCACTTTCCCTTCTTGATCGTGCACTTTTATTCTTTGTCATGATTTCCACCCCTTCATCCACGTGTCCCATTTATATTTGCTTGTCTATAACGGTCTCCACCTCATCATTATTTTGCACTCTCCTTACAATATGTTCTTAAAATAGCAATACTTGACATTAAAACGCTGCATTATATATGTTGCATTTCAGTTATAATAATTTGACTTACCTTATTATATCAATAAACTTGTGCTTGCAATTCCCTCCCGAAAATTTTGTTGAAACTTTGAAGATCATGGAGCACCGTTATGGGGCTAAGGACTTTGTGACGAGCAAGAAGTGTAGCTACTTATTACCTCCAGGCACATTTTATCTCACCATGGTTGAATCAATGTACAGGAGATATTACTCCAAGAATTACAATGTATTATTTTCTTATGGTTCACCTGTATTTGATCCCATAAGGCTATTAATCAAATTGTTTATAAGATGTTTTCATCGTTGTATAAAAAATAAGAAAGTTTATGCGCAAATAGTCAAATATGTTTGAATGCAGATGTGTTACAAGTTTCTTATGTTTGTTAAACAAATGCCAATATTAGAATAAACTTTTGCTGTTTTCTTGATTATATGACATTCGATTTTAACGTTTCCTAACTATATTAGATACTATTGCATTATTTTTTATTATGTGGATCATTAACCAAAATTTAAATTTAGTATTTAAGATTTACGACCGAGTTCCTCATTATCGCGGGACATTTATTGACAGAATGACAGAGCCATGTGTAACTGTGTTATTTTATATGCTTGGAGTAAAGTAGCAGTAATTTGTCATAACTTAGAAGTAAAAAAAAGATGAAAGATATAATTTATGATTTTTTTATTTGCTTTTATTTCTTTCTCTTTATGAAAGATTCAAAGTCCACTACTAAATAAATAAACTAATAGCATTCTAACATATTAACTAGTGTGAGAAGTAATTGAATTTATTCAAACAAATGAGGTGAATAAATCTTAGATGATATATAAATAGTCAAAATAAAAAAAGTATTTAATATTTTTGTTCTATCAATCATAAACATTAGAGATAAATCTTGTTTACAATATTATAATTATAATTTACTTAAAAAAAAATTATATACATCCAAAATTATATATAAATTTTCTAATAAATAGATATTTTATAATGAGTGCATGATATTTGATCATTAGGTTAAATTATTAATGTTGATTTAATGGTGGAAGATTTAAAATAATATGTACTTGTTCTTAACTTCGAACTCTAGTACTGTAATGATAATTAATATGGATAAAAAAGATCATTAGATGTTTGCATAGCAAATTATATGGTTGAATCTTTTAACCTTCACAACTATATATTTACAACATTTTCCATCACATAGAGTCAAATATATTGACTAAATCCTACAAACATATCAGTTCCAATACTATTTATTTGTTTGATAGTTTGAATCATTGGACATTGCTTTTTAATTTTGGTTTAGTTAAATTCTTGTCAATTGCCCTATCATTAGAACCTTCCTACGGAAACTAGGAAAATTATTTGCGAAGATCGAACAAACTGGACTCATCATCTCTCATCACCAACTTCACAACAACTTACCTAAAATAACCTGATAGGTATAAGGCAACAGAAAAAATTCGTACAATATATTATATGTACGCGCGTGTACCTAACTATAATGTACTTTTGTCACGAACAAAATTAAGCAGAAACCCGTGAATGTTTTCTTAGTTAATGTATCTTACACAGTTACACTAGCTTAATTTGTATTGATATTACTGATTTTGATACATGTAACTTGAAATTTATTTAATAAAATAGTGTGAAAATATAAAAGTCATGAGTGTTAACAAATAGTTTTGTGACAATACTTTAGGACAACTGGACAAGTCGTAGACATTAAAATAAGTCATAGTTCTTATTCGTGACTTTACATAATAACTTAAGTTGTGTGCCAAGTCCACGACTTGATAAGTGGAGCCTTTTGTTTTTTTACCACCAAGGTGATTTTTTTAATATATAAATTTTATTGTAGGTACTTTTTTAAAAAGGAAAAAAAACATCTGGAATAGGTAAGTCATATTTCACTAACATGGCTTCTACTTAAAAAAAAAAAAAAAAAAAAAAAAAAAAAAAAACTATATTTAAATTTTCTCCCCACTTGGTAAAA